TATATATATATATATATTTATTTCAAAATATATATTTGATAATCTCAAATCAGAGTTACATAACAAAGTATTATATTTTATTGTATATTTCTGTGGTTCTTACTAATATAAGCGAATTTTTCAATCAATCTGCCATACTAAAATATATATGTGTATAAACAAGAAAAGAAATATAAAAAGAAAAAGCATAAGTAAAGTCGCTTTTTTAGCTTGATAAAAAGTTTATGAAAAGCACAATTGTTTTAATTCAACATTTCGTATTTGATCACCTTGAAAATCGGTTACCACGATTCGCCCAGAGGTCTCAATACGACATCCTGTATCTATGGGCAGAAGATATCATTTTTATTTTATATGACAAGAGAGGACAATGTTTAGACTATCTAAAGATGTATGTACGACATACCAACACGTGAGGAGGATTAGACAACACATAAATTGCCGCCGCTGCGACGTCGTCCGGATTCAAAACCGGCATTGCTGCCATTGCTTCCGGGGAGAACACGCTGTAAGAAGCCATGAATTCCGTCGCAACCAAACCAGGACTAATATTCTACATATGACAGAAATAATGTAATTAAAAAGGTTTGTTCTTACCTTATATAAGCTTCTTATTCTATTTTAAATACATATGTATATACTTCTTATCATCAATTGTATAAAAATAATTTTTAATATATCAAGAAGAGAATTTAAAATGATTTCAATAAAAATATATTGTTTTGAGGAACAGTTACGTTTCATTTATTAAATGTCTTACTGTGACACGTATATGCGTGCCCGCGAGCTCGTGTCGCAAAGTCATGGCCAGGCCAGTGATAGCACGCTTTGATGCCGGATATACGCTAAATCCTGGAACGAAAGGCACCCTCTCGGCAACCAAGCTATTCACGTGAATCACGATGGCATCTTCAACCGCCGTCTCGCGCATCATGCGTACAGCCTCGCGTGTGCAGAGACAGAGTCCCAGAACATTCACGTCGAACACGGATCGCCAGTCCTCTAAAGTACCATCTGTAAAACATGTTGGAGAATTAAACTCAATTATTTTACGTTGTTCTCTACAATAATGCATTTTTATCTTTTTTACAATAAAATTGTCTATTTTGTATATCTGATTGAACAGAAGAGTTTAAAGAAAACCTATGAAAATTTCTTTAGAAGTAAAGAAATGTTAACATCGAATTTAGAATTTATGCACAGCTCTTACAGATCCATAATAAGAACTTCTTTATTTCTGAAGAAATTTTCATACGTTTTCTTTAAACTCTTCTGTCCAATATTAAGATCTTTACCTATGAGTGAAGATTCTTTGGTGATACCAGCGCTGTTAACGAGAACGCTTATCGGTCCAAGATTATCCTTTACCCACGCGAAAGCTACGGTTATGCTTTCCTCTTTAGTGACATCGCATTCCACGGCATGGAGTTTGTCTGAGAAATCTTTTAAACAATCAGCGATTTCCTTAATTTTTTCCACTCTCCTCGCGAAGCCTGCCACTATCATACCTGACATAACAAAATGATCATACCAATGAGCTCCATATTATATTAATTTAAACGTGGATTTTTTTCACATTACAATAATTCTCTAATAATAGGACTCTGAACGCAATATTTTACAACATTTCAAATAGTACGTCAATATCTTGTTTTCTTTCGAATGTAACAGTGATATTACACTTCCTAATTAGTGGACGTTACGGCAGCAATTATCTCGCGAGTCGAGATAAACGTGTGCAATCGTAAAGTCAAATTTCTCGCCGGAGGAATTTTAATCTAATATTAATTTATTGTAATTGGAATACTTCACCTTGTTTAACAAGATTTCGTGCGATTGCTGCACCAATTCCGGCGCTGGCACCAGTTACTACGGCCACTTTTCCGTTCCATCGCTCCATGCTTCTGCAGTGAGACTTGAGACGCAACTGCGGACCAGAAACCCTCGATAATCCAATTGCGTTACAAGCTTATCAATATGGAGAAAAAGGAGGACAGACATCCAACAGGTATGAAATTCGATAGTAAAAGAAATTCTTTGTAACTGATCACTGTCTGGCCTTGATCAGATGCAATTACATCTGATTGAATCTCGATCTTACGAAGAAAATAAAAAATCAATAGATTTTTTTTAGAAAAATAAGAGAAGAATTCAAAATCGGAATAAGTCCAATTTATTTCGTTTATTGTTTGCACACTATTTATTATCTATATTAATATATTATTTATAAATTGTTTAAGAGCAAAATTTTTATTCCATTTTTTACATTTATCAAGTTAATTAATTTAATTATACCGTATATTTATCGTTTATTATATTATACATATTTATTAATTATAATATTAAAATACCAATTAAATTTCTTAAATTCGGTCAAAGACCAATTATTGTGTAGTATGCGAGATGCAATTGCTTCTTTGTCATTTTAAACGCGTCTCGAGGCCAATGAAGATTAATTATCAATTGAGTTTATAATGAATTATAGCTAATAACTGCATATTTATGAGACCATATGTTCATGTATGTCGTCTGTAATAAACATTGTCGCATAAATTGTGATCGGATTTACTTGGAGCGTTTCTCCGTTTCATACGAACATCATGCATAATTATGTTAAAAATTTGAATTATATTTATTATAAATCGCAATTAGGTAAAGGTAAATAAATACCATTCAATTCCGATTTGGCTACAAGTATATTTTGGGCGTGAGGCGTCTACATGGATGAGTACTATACAATGCGAGGTATTAATTTTTCTTTCCTAGAGATCTAAAGTTTTCTTTATCGCATAACCGTGATATATCTCGAAATGATAATGATCGATCGAATGTGTAGAATTTCTAAACATCGGGACTTAGGCAGACAAATTTGGTACAAAGAATTGTGTATATGTTTCTTCCTTTCTATTTTTTTAGATGTTTAGAAGAGAACGTACCCTTCCTCTTTCTGTTCACTTTTAAAAAACACACCTCTCACTAACTCAACCGACGAACGAGCTCTAACATGTATAGTCGTATTAAAAGACGAGAAATAAAAAGGGATGTTCACGCCTTTGCTCTCTCTGTACCGCTTACTACATCGCCAATTGTTCTATTTACAAATCCTATTCCTTTTTACAAATATCTATACGCCTCTTATACGTTGCAAGAAAATATATCACTTTCTTCTCGTGTAGAGACACGTACGCTACGTTTACATCACGCTGAGTTCGCGACTGAGTTTACACCTTCTCTAAGCTGGTCATTGTTGTTCGTCTACCTTACGCGACGCGTATTTATAACGTGACGAATATCGAGAAACACATGCGACAAGGAAGAATACAACGAAAGTATAAGTTTCCAAAGTGAAGAGAGACATTTGCTTCGCGCTTAGTTTGGAAACTGCGATCTCATTGTGTGTTTCCACTGTCCCCATGTCTAACTAAATTTATTAATAATACGCGTCTAAACTAAATCTCGCACGAGTCGTAGGAAAATACATCAGAGGATGCGAATTTTCACAGCGTTTCAGAGATGTTGTCTTACATGTTTCTTTAGTATTGTACAGTTACATTATTATATTATATATAATGTCTATTTTTTAGGAACATTACATGTACCCTAACGAACGCTCTACGAGCTATCGAGAAATCTTTCTTTTTCCGTATTTGAACTCGTACAAAATAATAACCACAGTATTTACTCGAGACATCGAGATAGTACATTTTTCTATACATTCTACGCACAACAGTTTTCCCTAACATCTCACGTACACGCTGTATATAAACAAAATGGATAGAAATCATACAGATTAGACTCGATTATAGGCGAGAAAAAAAAGAGACAGCGAACGAATAGAGAACTATCTGTCGTTATTTACGCTTCATTGTTTTATCATGAGAGAAGATCGAGCATATTAAAAGACGGTAGAAATAATAGATAATATTGGTAATCAAAAGATTCAAAAGTTAGCGAGGATATCGCAATTTGGCGTTTACTAACCGCTTACTCCGACTATACACGAGCTAAAATAAATCTTTTATTCTTCCGAATCGCGGACGATCACAATCTCTCTTTCTCCTCGTGTCATATTCATATAAAATTGTACCGCCAATTATGAATACTTATTGTATTTAATTGCTTTAAGTGACACATATACGTGTACTCACGTGCACGAATACAAGAATACCACAGCTATCACATCGACGCAGGAGTAATAAAAATTTGCGCCGTAAAAATCCAATATTAACGAATTAAGCTAAGAATAAATATTAATTTCTTTTCTCATGTTTTTAATTATTACGATTTTTCGCAATAATTTCATTCCCGGAAGAGGAAAGAACGTTAGCGAATCTGAAGAGAGAGAGGGTAGGGGAGGGGGAGGGAGGGAGAGAGAGAGAGAGAGAGAGAGAGAGAGAGAGAGAGAAATAACAAAATTATTATCTTGCCTATGTGCTCTCATGAATCTTTAAATAAAATACTCTTTGGAAAAGAGATAACACTCTTATACCCAGGGTAGACAGGCATAAGGGGCGCAACTATTCTTATCGTGGATGCTAACGAAGGGAAGCGAGTGTCGTTGCCTGTGTCAGTGTTGACGAGGATAGGGATCCAACTGCGTGTTTTTGTGCACCTGCGGTGTTACATTGCTCGATTGTGATTGCTCTTGTCTGTGTTGTTGATAGGGATATCGAATTTGATAGTTTTGTTGCTGATGATGTTGCTGCTGATATTGCTGCTGATGTTGCTGCTGTTGTTGCTGCTGTTGTTGCTGCTGTTGTTGCAACTGTTGTTGGTGCTGACGTTGTTGATGCGGTTGCAGGGTATACTGTTGTTGCGATTGTGACTGCGGTTGTTGTTGCTGCTGTTGCTGCTGGCCCTGTTGTTTTCGTTGCTCCGAACCAGCCGCCACGTAAGAAAATACGCAGAGGACAGCATAGCAGATATCAGACGCCTTCGAATGAAAAGAAAATTTTCCGCCGTTAGGTACATATTCTTTTTATTCATTAAAAGCTTTGATGTTAAGAAAACGTTAGAAATTAAAATAAATATCAAATTTTACTAATTTTTATTTAATTTTCATTTTATCTGTATATATAAAACCGGCTTGAAATTATTTGAAACAGTAAATTAAATAGTAAAAATTGTCTTTTGAATATAATTTATAAAAACACAAAATAATGAAAAGAACTTACGTGAGATGTAAGAAAAGAAAAAAACTTAAAAATGAGTCTCATGCAGTGTCATTTCCGCGCTTATGTTTCTGAGTCTCCAACGGGAGTTTATTAAAAGTAAATGCGATAGAAAATGTTCTATGCAAGCAGCGAACCGCCTCTTCAGCCTGTTGTATAATATATAGTTATAGAAATAATAACAAAAATTAAAAGTAATAAAATGTTTATCACTTTTTCTAACTCTTTTTATGTATTTTTGGCTATACATAATGAAATAACATAAACGTTGTTTATAATATTTTATACGTTTAAACTCTTAAACTATTGTAAAATTTAAAAAAATGTTATATTCTACATATAAAATAAATATTTTATTCAGTTAAAACGAATATATTATTAACGAAATGAAATTATTATTTTATTTTAGAGTAAAACAGACATTTTATTACTTTTTTCTCAAAACAAATATCTTTTCTCATTACAACAGATATTTTTATTCCGGCAGTAAAGAACTTCGAAACACGCGTACTCACCATTTGTGACTTATATTTACGTTGAATTACTTGTCTAGTTTTAGGATCTGAAACAGAAAGGCACCCGATATTCTGACATTCAAAGATTAAATGCTAAATTGCAGCGTAAGCGTGTCAGAGAATATTGTGAATCTATTCTTTTTTTTTCACGAGATATCTACGGCGTAAAAGCGTAATCGATGCAGTATTCGGTATGTCACTTACTGAATTCTTCCAAAACAAAGATTCCATCCTTTTGAGTAAAGCACTTGCGGATATGATCGAGTCTTACAAAAAACTGCAAATAACACAATCGGTTTGCGTTAGTGGTCTGTGCATCGCGTATCATAGATCTACTCGATCATGCATACGATTCTGACGATTCTCTATTTGCCTATCATTATCATATGCATCGATATAGCAATATCAGTCATATGTGCGAACAGCTTTCTAAACGAGGCGTGAAAATGTCGTGATGCTCGCTCGACGATAAACGTCTGTTTTCACCCTTCGAGCGCTGATTTTGTCGCGTCTTTTATCAATCAATAATAAGTCTTAGCTATATTTTAATTAATTATTAAATACTACTATATTATTATATTATTTATTGCAACAAAATTATAAATTTTTTTATTAAAAATTTTTTTATTAAAATCTAGAAGCGCTCAACGGGTTTTGCACAAGAAGTGTGTTTCACCTACTGCCTGTTTTCGATGCATGTCGCCGTACAGAAAATCACAATTATACAAACTAATTACAATTTGCAAAATTATACATTTCTTTCGTATAATTTTGACACACGATTCTTTTTATTGATAGTTTATTAATGACATAGTGACGCGCGTGACGTATATATCGGATAAAAAAATCGGATAGAATTTGTAACAATTGTAATAACTATTATTATTATTATTTCATGCCGTTTATACAATAATTAAGTATAATTTGCACTTATAATTAGATGCGAAGCAATACTGTTGTAATACTAATTGTCACGACCAGATCATGTTTCTTTCGTTTTCCAGAAATATTTTATATACTTTATACCAAATGTATTTATTTCAAAGATTTGTGATTTTATTTTTAAAATATCATTTTTTTCAATGCTGTATGTACTTAAAGCGAATGAAATCTAAGAGAGCGGATATTTATTTTACACGTGAAAACCTGTACACTTCGAATGTTAAATTACTTTATAACATTCGCGTTCCAATTACATGTTGAGTAACTTTATATTCCCATGTAATTATCACTACGAAAGGAGAGGGCATTGAAAGATAATCTCGCGACGACGATATCCGTGTGACGAATATTAAATCGCATTGTACGTATGAATATCGGAAATATTGTGTATATATTTAATGAGTAAAGCTGAAATAGAAATGTATCCATTACACGTGCAAAGAGTGTACAAATGCTGTAAATAAAAGAATTGAAATCGGGAAACTCAAACCCTAGAAATATTTCTACGTGCAGCATACACGGACCTCTCAGGGCTTACAGGGCAGCCGTACAAGCATTGTCTCATAACAGCATGCTCAATATCACTTAATAGTTGTCACATTTCGATCGAAACTCAACAGCGAGCAACGCTGTGTATTTTCACAAAACTCAATCTTTACAAGACTGATTCTTGAGGAATACATTTTTTAATTGTTGAGTTTTGCGAAAATTAATGTTCGGTGTGAAGGCCAAAGCGATGTACAAGCAATCCAGGAATCTATTCTACGATTAAAATCTATCAAAAGACATCATGCATCATTCAGCAATCGCGATGCAATCTCGATATAATTGATTTTTAAGCAAGATCTATAATAGCAGCAGCGATGGCGGCAAACAGCGACGGCATCCGCAGCAACGGCAGCAGCAATGTCAGCGATATATAGCGGCAAGCGTAATAGCAGCAGGCAACTCTGGAGATGGCCTAAACTCAATCGTAAAATGTTACTGATTGCTTAGCGTCGGAGAGTTGCTAAAATGTGCAATTGTATCATCTAATACAGACCGGCGGACGTGATACGTTCGTGATATATATATATTATATTAATCATGAGGGGGGGGGGGTGGTAAAGAGAAATCGAGAAAAAGGGGGAAGTATGACGGTAAATAAATGTCACTTCTTAGGGAGTGAAATCAGTACAATATCGGAATTAGTACAATGCCGTAAACAAGAAACATATTATGTTAGCAGTGCCATGCCAGAGAAGTGTAATAATATCGTGGCGAGAAGGTTGAGGCTCGCGCGAAATTCACAGTTTTCACGATGTTTTCTTTTTTCACAGGAGGGATATCCTGTTCGCAATAAATACTTTAGACGATCACTAGACAGCACGAGGAACCATTGCTCTACTACGTAAACTACCAGTGTAGAATGAGTGGATTGCCGAGCGATGTATGTATCACGAGCATGTAAATCATGGATTCCTTCGTTTTTATTTCACCCTGCTGGTCTGTTTGGATCTATTTAATCAAAAATAGAATTTATTTTTTTAGCAATAGTTTATTTAAAAATAAAATAATTTCTCTTTTATGACTTTGTGCTTATATTTTTTTTTCTGCATTTTTTAATCATCATATTGATTCATATGATATGATTGTATAATAATTTTAAACAAACTAATAGGATTAATATTATGTAATTTCTCTCAAGAAACCTATCGAAAATCTGGAGTTCTGAAGAATCACTTCAGCATAGAATATATGCTGAAACGACTTCGCGGAATAACTGTTCCGTTATTCTTTCCGCAGAGCTGCTCGAATCTCAAAAAAGACACAGTAAATCCTCCCGCGGTCCGGAAAAATTCGGATGCAAAAATCAGTCGAGAGAATTTTTAAGTATATTAAATTTTCATCTTTTTTCATATTATTCTCTTATTTGTGTAATCTGTCTTCTTCAATTCTTGAGTAGCGTCATTCATTTGTAACTGTGCAGTTTTAATATCTTTTACGTTTCTTAAAATATAATATCCAATTTTTCATGTTCGACATAAATGAGGAAAATGTTGATATATTACGGGTATATATTTGCTGACATAAAAAAAATTAACGATTTACATCCCGAAATCTTATGTAAAAAATAGTAAATCATATGATATGAGATACGTTCTACAGATTACGAATACACAGATCGACTCTCAATGAATTAACGTCTTATTTGCGATTTAAAATTCTCTTAATCTCATTCAATTAAAAGTCAAAATAAAAGAAAGAAATCAGAAGACGTAGAATTTATTTTCGAATAAAGATAGATAGCCCGAGATGCTTGTCATCGATTTTCGATGAAATCGACAGCACGCTTTTTTTGTCACGATTCGATCATATGTCGAATGAATTAATAACGGTAACAACAATTTCGGGTTTCGGTAAAACGAGCTTTTCAAAGAGCTTCCTCAGTCGCGACCGAGAGATACGGTGTGTAAAAAACGTGAAAGCTGTAAATGATGATCGTGACGCAATGACTTTGTGTACGGACTTTTATGTACGAGTGATTAGGCTATATAGATATATATATATAGTTGCATTGTGTGTGCATCGAACATCGCTCTCTACAAGTTGCACTAAACACTACTTACAAATATTTCATCTAAACGATATACAATATATAAAGTATATTTTGTGTCGGATTTTTTATCAATGCGGCAAACACTGTTCTGCATTTCATCGTTCATTACTGGATACCTGGAGAGGTATCGGCTTTACGATATACATGTCATATCGTAACGGAGAGATACATATGCGTGTATATATATATTACAACTAACACCGATCGATCGTAGAAAAAAACAGTAAGGATAGACAGAGCAGATCAGTGAGTTCGAATGCAATTTAAGAATCTAGGTAGATATATATAGTATAATGGTATATAATAATAATATATACGGCCAAAAGTAATGGTGAAAATAAATAAGCATCTCCGGAACACGGCCAACATTGAGTATATAGTCATATACTGAATTTGTATAACAAACAATGACTTATTTTGATTTGATACCTCGAAATCCTGTTTGCCCAGCCGTAGGGCAATGTCGATGGACGGGACAAGAAAACAGAAAACAGAAAAACAGAAAATTAAAACCTTTGGTAACAGCAGTTATCCACTCAGTCATAGAATATGTATAGCATATATATATATATAGAAAGAGAGAGAGAGAGAAGAGAGATACAGCTGTACACGATGATATTACAGCTATGCTTTTATCACCTAACGTCATGGCCAAATCGATAAACAGCGAAGGTATATTCATTGTTCAAGGACCATCTCAAAAGTTCCCCAAGCTGAGAAAAGTCTATCATTCCGATTACCCGAATCGAATGCTCGGATCCCGGGTATAATATCCTACAAGTATTTCGTCATTCGCGCGAGATTCTGTCAATGTATGATATATAGCCGCGAACGTTTATCGGTCGCGATGGAGTAAGTAGCCAGTAAACAATGATTTGTGTAGCGTCCGATTTTGTTGCATCATCTTTCTTTTCTTTTAATTTTTCTTTTTCTCTCATCTCGAACGCGAATAGACTTTCCTCGCGCATGACCACGACAGATAAAGAAGTTGTTAGACTTATGGAAAAAATATAATAGCATCCAACATTCAATACAAATGATAAGATATAGGAGTATAGTGTTCAAAAGACAGTCTGTATATATATATATTGTATATATCGCCCTATACCTTATTTCCTATGTATATATATATATAATATAAATGTAATGGATATATAAATATGTAATATATATAATTATATATAATACAGATAAAAGAGTCTGCAACTGCACATCGAGCTTCCATGCAAGAAAACATTGATTAATATAACGCCTGAACACAATATTATTCAGTAAAAATAATAATCGAGAGGATATCGGACCCGAAATTGTACCGAGTAAATCTCACACAGGAATCGCGATTAAACGGAACTCTCGATTAACGAAATGCTTAATGACGAGCAGAACAATTGTTTTTTCTCGTTGAAGAGTTGTATATGCATGTGTGTGACGCGTTATATGTATGTGTATGCATCTGGAGATGATCTGAATTCTGATAGGATCCACTTACTGCGTTTATTGGTAATTTGTAAATTTTTATTATTATTTGTAAATTTTCTTAAAAACTATCATCTATTTACATCATAATTTTTTTTATTCAAATAATAAATTATTAAAATATGTATTTTAAATATTACTAAAAAAAGATTGAAAATTCTTTAACAAATGGATCATATTTCGAACTCAGATGCGCAAATAAAGAATGCCTCAGCTCAAGCGTGCTTTCTCTTTTAAAGTTAAAGATTCATGAATCAATTTTGAGCTAATTTTTCGCTATTAAGAACTTTTTTACATAGGATGTCTTAAGTTTGATCCCAAGTTTGAAAATTAAATTCGAATCGTCATATTAACGGAATCTAGAGTCAAGGAAATTTTCCATTGTCTATCGTATATAATTTGTAAAATAACACATTGATATTCTCATGACGAAAACTTGGGTCATCAGTCAAACAGAATTTATATATGTACTGTATATATACATATATAGTTATATATATATATAGTTAAAAAAAAAGAGAAACACGATTGATTGCAACATTCTGTAAATGTACTATGCTGCGTAGTTATGCTGTAGTATTCCTTTTCGAAGTGTGTAAGATATTTATTTCTATATCTCTTCATTTCTTCCGTAGAGTTTCTCTAGTTTCGCACCGATATGTGTCTTTGCAAGTACGAATTCTCGCGTATTTCTTTGTAAATCAACAAAGTACGAGTAACTTTCGCACGGATTTTGGAACGTATATTGGGTAGAAAGTTCGCCAGTTAAACCACCTGACGAGCCCGACTTGTCCTTCCACATGGACGCGATGAATCACGTACAGAGATACAAATCAATTAAGCAGATCGTAGTGGCTAGCAGTGGGAGATAATATTGAGTGGTCCTTGCATCAATGCAATAATGAAAAAAAAAAACATAGAGAAAGAGAAAAAGAGAAAGAGATCGATGATCAAGAGAACATGGTCAAAAAGACAGTGGTTGAACGACGACGAGGTTTTCAATCCTACTAAAGCAACGATGTTGACGGTTTTTTTTTGTTTAATTAATCAATGCCTTCCTTTTAAAAGTACTATTTAATATCGGATTGTCCGTTCAACGTTACGAGACGAGTATCAAAGCTAGCATGTCACCTCGAATCGCGATTATTAAGCCGAAGCAAAGGATATTTTTTTTCTACAACTCAGTCTCGTTGTAGTATAATACATTCTCTAACGTATAATTAATCTCACTGAAATAAATGCATTATTATATGCACTGACACGTCGTAAAAAATAAACGAAATTGATAGCTAGAAAGATCGTAATGTAATATAATCGAGACGTAATACGGTTGAAGGTATAAGATGATACTTAATCCTCAAACCAAAGTTCTCAATAAATATGTACGATCGAACATGACACAAACAATTGAACGTAGAATGTAAGAGGGGTATATAGATATAGATATATGCGCAATCCTCGAAAAAAAGAGAGAGAAAGAGAGAGAAAGTGAGAAGGAGAGTCGAGCTCTCGATTCTTTCCGATAACAGCGTAAGGAATGTGTGACTTTTTTACGCGAGTGCGAGCCATACCTTGCTATTCGCGAAGAGGAGACCGACGCCTTCCATGCAGACCTGCAGAAGTCCGCCCTCACCCGTTCGCATATCCTGCACCGGAAACTCACCGCCGAGCTCGTTCGCCACGTTCACGCCTCGTCCGCGAGCTGCTGCCTTCTCCATTGCATCCTTAATGCAGTAGTACACGTCCTTACACTAGAAAAAACGATCGTTGATTTATCGTTAAAAGTGTGCAGCACACAGCTCTAATCGATCTCGACTGGTCGCCCATCAATCAATTTGGAATTCACGGACATTTTCTCCAAATTGTCTGAAACTTTGCGAGATTGCGCCTATAACCGTCTGCAATCATATTTGTAATCCCTCAATCTGCAATCTGAGTCTTCAGTTCAATTTCTTTTACTGTTCCTAGGTTTTTCAAAGAGATACAATAGACAGTGCCTGAATGTCGTTGGTGGATTCAAAGAGGGGAGGGGGGGAGGGGGGGAGTCCAAGCCTATTATAATATTATTAGGCTTTCAAAGAATGTGGAAAAATTCAATGGTTATTTTTCAAAAAAAAAATATTTTTATTTTATTATTAAATTTTTTTCTCAATTATTTTAGAAAGGGACTTCGCTCCCCTTTATTTTGAAGAAATTTAAGAATGAAATTTTGTTTGTAACCAAAAAAGATTCAGATTGCATTTTTGCAATCATTATACGACAGAACGGGACATTTCTTTTTCGTTTAATTTTCGTTATTTGAACTTCCCTTGTTCGATCTTTCTGGGGATCCTTCCTACCTTCTTAGTATAATACTTGTGTAACTTGGTATCGCCGCCACTCTTCTTCCATAAACATAGAACCTTATTCTTCGGACTATAGGTCATGTTGACTACGCGCTCATACCACCATCGCTCGACTATTACGCCATTCACCGATCTCAGCACGAGACCATCGTGGCGAACCTCGAGGAAGCGCAAATCGCCCTCGGCGTCGACCCCCGAGTGTACGGTAAACGATTGCCGATGCATTTGCCGGGATGTTAAGGGCTTCAGGTCGATGTCGTTTCCGTGCTGTAGAAGAAGAAGGTCCGCGTTCTTAGCACGTCGCGATTGTTAACCGGTCGCGCGACCGATACTCACGAGATTGTTTATTTGATCGAGAAGTAGATTCAATTCCTGGCTGTAGATGAGGCCGATGTGACTCTTGCCCAGCAATCTGCGTACCTTCCGCTTCAGCTCGTTCTTATCAACGTTTAACATCACCAGTACGGCGGTGAGATTGTGCAGCAAAGTGCACAGCAGTCTGTCCTCCTCGTGTTCCAACCTTCGTCTTTCGCTTTCACTCAAACTCTTGTATCTGTATCACGCAACGTGTTTTAACAATAATTAAAAAAATGTTTATTATATCTATTTATGTATACATATATTGATTAATACAATATATCCAACATTATACATATAAAACTTTTCAATTTATAATTTTGAATTAATTGAAGATTATATGTGGCTATCTCCATAAGGAAAAATTTGGTTTTACTAAAATATCTAAAAATTTAGCTAAATATAGATATTTGAAATTAATTTTCCAGACTATCAAAATATTATGTAGAACGTTCAAAGTAATTGCTAGAATATTAAAACTTTTTGCAGCACCACTCATCATACTTGAAATTTCTACGTAATTATTTTGATAATCCAATAAAATTATTTTCAGATATGTATTTAACACTTTTAGATACTACAGCAAAATTCTTCTTTTGACGTAATTTTTGCTCGATTCAGATTTTGATTATTTTTTACCTCTCCACCATTTCTCCGGGTCCTTGATCCATGCCCATCATGTCGCGTTCCTGCGAGACGGCATCCAAAAAGGCGTCCTCCCAGAATTGCATTTCGTCCCACAGAGACGATCTGTCCTTCCCCACTAAACCTAGAGTGAAAATTGCAATAATAAAGTGATAATAAAATATCGACGAGAAATTCGTCAATCTTTAGATATCACTTGTAAATTATTATGCTTCTATTGTACCTTCAAAGAGATACGTTCTCGCAGTCTCCGGACTTGGTAACGTTGTGGTAGGTATCAAACTTCCGCCGTGATACCGAAATCCGGTGCTTAAAGACGACTTGCTGGACCAGACGCTGCCGGAACGCTGCTTGCCCTGTCGAGGAAACTGAAATCACAGAATCGTGTAAGAGTGAAGTTAATAGCGTTTCAGAGATAATTTTTGATAAATCATGAAGACTTTAATAAAACAGTCCGAAATTATGACCAGTATTCATAGTCAATTCTTATATTTAAGACCTTAAGTACAGTCTCAAGATTGCATAAATCGTATTAACATCTTAAGACATTATGTAAGATGATCTTAAAATAAAAACCGATTATGAATACCGGTCAATATCTTCTATCAACATTCGTCGAGATCATAAAGATTAGAGCATTCCATCTATATATAGCTAACTGCAATACGATGCCACCTTCTAAAGTCAAAAGGTAGCTCGCTTGCACACACAAGAATCACGGGAGAAACCTAGTAACATCACAAACAAGACATTAATTTTTTTAAATATGATAATAATTTAAATTACAACGAAACGCGACATTGTTACCCTTCGATAATGATTCTCTATGCGATCTGTCAGCGTCCAGTGTTCCTGTCTGATGAATGCCGAGATATCGATGCAATTCGAAAATTCGAAATTACGGAAAGATTCTGTTGTGCGATATAGATGTATATTACACATCCGAGTTAGTCTAAGGACTCTTTCTCCTAAAGAACGTGTTAATTCAATTTGAAATTGTTAACGCGTGATTGCACATTCCAATGAGTTTTGCGTTGTCGGGCATCTATTTTACGGAAATGGACGGTGCTACTAGCGATGTGTGCGTTGCTCTCTACCAGATGTATCTAACAACTATGTAAGATTATATTAATTCAAGATAGATAATTTACATTGCCTTGCTCGACCTCGCTATCAGACACGGTGCTTCGGAAGGAAGCTTGGTGCGCTTGCCGAAAAGCAGGATTAGTGATAATGCTACCTCCGTCAGTGGATAAAGCTTCGCTGCTCCCCGTTCCACCACCCCGCCCACTCTAAAAAAACACATGACAAAACACGTGTGCGTTGCATGTTACAATCGAAAATTGAACATTTTTGTGATGCTTTCTTTCTTTCTTCATGTTTACTAGCTTTAAAAGGACCGTCAAAGAAACTGCCAGGCCGAATAATACATTCTCTAATAAAAAAAGAAAAGAAGAAATGGTTTTCTCGTCTGTTTTAGAACGGGGGGAGGAGATGTATTTTTACCAGTTTCAACAATTATATTGATCGCGCCTGCAGGATCATTGCGACACCCAAGTATGTTAGTATTACTAACCAACTTGAAATTTGAGTTTAGGATATCGAAATTACATTTGTACATTAAAAAAATTCTTTCTACCTCTGAGTCGAATGAAGTGAGCTTGCTTAGAAATTTCCCTTTCTTTGTGAACATGTCCAGGAACATATCCGTCGTCGATTGGCTTGTATCCCCCGCTGGTGGTGCCTGTGGCACGTCCAAATGCACTTGCGGTAGTTCTAATATTATATTTTTTTTTTATATATATATATATATATATATATATATATATCGCGATAATATTAAAGAATTAAAAACATTAAATATCAAAATTTTCAATAAAAAATATATCTTGATAAATTAAGAATCGATAGAAATTTTTTATCGATAGTATGCTCAAAGACGTACCCGATTTTTGCGTAGGATCCATGAAGTCAGGTTGATTCGGGGATTGCGGGGATTTTAGATTTTCTCTGCTACCGAATGGGCTAGACGCCTGCGAAATGAGCGCTTTCTTTCGTCATCGAACATCAAATATACACATATACGCATAATATGTACTTGAAAAATAAAAGATGAATTTTGAATTATGCTACATTAAAAGGGTGTTTTTTTTATTGTACCTGCGACATCAGAGAGCTGTCGAAGCCGCTACCTTCGGACAGATCTTTACTCCAGTAATGTGTGTGAGCGATTTCCATCAGCTGGAAGACAGAAGCCATCCCGCCTAGTCCGAAATTATTATACGTATGCGCGAGACCGTGCGTTACTGCTTGAAGGCACTTTAACATTCCCTTATATACGGGCTTTGATATGGCCTGGTGAGAAATTAAAGCAGACATATAACATATAATCAAACAGTGTTCTATTTATTTCGAAGCAGAAAAATGTCAAGTAAATTTAATAACAGTACTTAATAAGCTCTATCTAATTAAGAAATATTTAAAATTTACCACATCGTCAATGTGATCGTTTGGACTGATCTTCCTATTAAGACCCTTATTTAGCTTCGTTACAACTAAATCCCGATAATTTTCATCCTCCATTAATTTCTTTAATCTGTTCAATTTGAGCCAACCAACACCTTCGCCAGCCAACACTTGTGTCACCACCTACAAATTCCACCGTAAAATTAAGCACGATTGTTTGTTTTTCATATAACGTTTACGAATACTTGCATCATTTAAAAAGGCTTGATTGTCGCTATTTGTGTTGGAACGTTCTGCGTTTTGCATTCTCTGCGCGTCTTCTTGATTAACTTTGTGTGTAGAATGTTTTATTAACGAGGAACGCTCTACCAATCCTGTTTTTCCTACAACTGTTAATAGCATTCGCGTTGTTCTGAATTTTATCTTTAAATGTAAGAATTTAATTAGAAATGGTTTGGCATTATCATTTACCTTTAGGAAATGGTCCAAGAATTGGATTGGTCTTCTCTTTCGATTTCTGATTTTGTGGAAAGAAGCTACTGCCTCGATTGGAATTATTTTTACTACCTAGAAATCGAATAATTTCGATATTTTTTAGAGTGTGCATTTATAATAATTTTTGTAACCCATAGATTTTAATATCGAATAAAAAATATTTTTTTAAGAGACGAAGATAAAATTTGTTAATATTAACACCAACATAATATGTTTTAACATCATGTGTTTTAAATTCACATTATTATGGTATTGATATAAACCACCAGAGATTTTAAATCCACATCGATTTTTTAAAGTGCAGAATTTTATCAATTATAATATTAATATATTGCAGTTTGATAGTTATTAAAAGTAAGATTGCGAAACATACCGAATAAATCGCTGAACATGCTGCTGGTCTGTGCGGCGAAGCCGTTCAGATCGCTGCTAATATTGCTGAAAAAGTCTCGTCCAACTCCACTTCGAGAATCAGACGCGACTAGTTGATTACTGACCGAATCCTTCCGCTGCTGCGTATTGGGAGATTGCGGCGAATGTGTGGGTGATTGTTGCGATTCTCCAAGACCCTAAAAGCAAATGTAAAGATTGCATTCGATAAACCAATTTCGAAGATCAGCGCAAAAGATTTAAGATGCTTCAGCGCGACTCTATCAGAACTAAGATATTTACGTACCTTGAGCAAGCCTTTCTTTGCGGCGGCTTCTTTAGCACTTTTTGTCAGATCTCCCAATGTGCTCTTGCCGACGTAAGTCAGATCGTCCAGAGTATTTTTACTAACACCCGCCGCGGTTTTGCTCGCCTCCAGCGCGGTTTTCGATACCTCTTGCACCGACTTGGTGGCCTCACCCATCGCTTTCTTCGTTTGTTGCGTCAACTATGATTTAGAAAAAAGAAGACAACTAAGCCTACATTTCAATTTCATATATTTTATGTGTAACGTAACATTGCACAAGTCTCTTAAAAAAAAAAACGTACTTGCTCCAATGGCGCGAATAGACTGTCTTCGCTTGCCTCTGTAATTTTTTCTTTTGCCTGCTTCAGCTGTGATAAATAGAAAATTAAATAAGTAAATAGCTACTATCGCATTTATAATAAAATATGACACAATTGATTCAATAGAACTAGAGAACGAATATTAGTAGTAATTTATTGACGATTGCTTAAACAGAGAGTTATATATTAAGGACATATTGGGCCAATATTGTACTAGTAAATTGTTGCTAGAGAAGCAACTGGGACAAATATTTTATTTTGACGCATGTGTGTGTGTGTGCTTCACCTTGTCCATTTGTGCAAGTAATCCATCCTGACTGCTCTGTCTAGTTTCGCGCATTAAGTCCTTCGCCTGACTAGCAATCTGCTCGAACAGAGAACCTTGCGAGCCCTGTCGAAGAACACCGTTTCCGGTAGTAGTACTACTGCCGCTGCCACCGCTGTTCTGCCGTTGCACCAAATTATCATTGCTAGATTTCTGCATGATCGTTGGTCCTGCCGATGCCTGACGTTGAAGCTGCATCGCTTCGTGATGCTGAAGCTCGGTGGTGCTGACTGCGCTTATCTGTCGTGGCAAGAGAGGCCCACCAGCAGTGTTGAAGCTGGAAGCTCTTGCCAGGACGTTGCCAACGCTTGGCTGACGCTGTAGACCCGGTCCCGTGGGTGGTACCTGGAAAAAAGTACGTGAACATTTATAATTGTTCTCAACTGCAACGAAAAAACAGACAATTTTTTTATTAGAAAATAATGGGAAAATCGGAGGTTCAAATCATCAATAATCCCGCATGTCTCTGAAAAATTCTTTTCTCGAAAAAAGTCAGTTGAAAGTAGAAAAATGCTTGTGTAATAACGTTGCTTCTTGGAAATTATTATTAATAAATTCATTTTATATCACAATTTTATATCAATAGAAAACTTTTAAGGCACACGGGATTGCAGCAGAAAGAACTCCAAGACTTTTATACTAAAAAGAGTGTTTTTTTTTTTCTGAAAATATTACACATTTATAATTAACACAAGATTTAATAAATATCTATTATAGTCTCAAGATTCAAAATATGAGTAATAAAGTTAGTCATGCTTCAATAGAAGACGTCACGTTGAAATACAATAGTATAGATTTAGATCTAGATAAAACAATTTGTATTTGACAATACAAGTAATAACTACAAAAAGAGCCGTACTTTTCACTGTAATTTAAATAGTGCATTATCTCTGTGTATATACTGCATATACATGTGTTGAAAAGATTAAAATCGTGTTTCTTACAATCATTTTAAAGTCAATGAAACTCGCAGACAGTGTATCGACAAGAAAATGAAAAGATGTATATGTAAATGTATCTGTAGATGTATGTTTCATGTATGTTTTACGTGTGGATCGCATGAGAAATAGACACTAGCAATGCAATAACGTATCTTCAAAGAATAACATGAAAAGAATATGTGTATCATAATAAATCTCATTCGCTCGTTTCATGCTAAGAAGAAATGGTGCGAAATACAGACTGAAGATCAGACAACTATATATATAATAGACTTCACGCAATTACATACTTAATGCCAGCTATGGGACGTGAATGAGGATTATCATAATGTTTGTTTTCAAAGGCGAACGTGCAAAGAATACTCAAACGATAGATATATCTCGTAAAACGAACGTCAATTAATCGTAAAAACAATAATGCATCTTTAAAATAAAATGCAAACCAGAGACGAGAAGCTTTAACATTCTCCTCAAACAATATTTTTAAGGAGAATTAAAAAGAAGGAGAGAAAAAGATGAGATAGTGATAGGCAAACATTTCACACACTCTGTGGAAATTATTCCCTCCAGTATCCAATTCGATTTCATTCTATCATGCATCAACCCCCAAATGATACCAAGGATGCGTTCCACTTAACGTTCGCAAGCAACGCTTGCGAGCATCATTTCACCTTTGTTGTCATCCAATGTTAAATAAGGATGAAATGATGCATGTGAATGTTGCAAACGTTAAGCTGAACATACCCCAAAGTGACACTCTCGAGGAGATATTCGAAAGTGACAGAATTAAAGGTACATATGAAGATGACTCACAGGAGTGACATATCTACTGATACGCGAGGTCCTGTGAGGTGTGGTAGGACGTTCAGTATCGTTGAGCGAAGATTGAGTGCCTAAAGATCCCATGCTTATCCCTGTGAATTGTCCTACCGAACTTTGTGCACTCAGGATAGTGCGCGGTGTTATTGTCGACGCGGAGTCTGACTCAAAGCTACCACCCTCCTCTTTATCCTATAATCAAGCTATCCGTTAGCGCACACCGGAGATGCCATTTCGAGATTTAACGCATAACGTAACACGCTATGAAAGTATTTCGTAGATATCGTATTTATGCACGAATCATTATTGTGTGCCGATTTATAGAATTGAAAAATATCTACGAATTTTTTCTTTTAATTCGATATATGTGAAACCTTCAATGATATATTATATCTGTTACCTATTATTATAAAATTGAAATACTGTTAATGGATTACATGTTACGGAACCAAGAGATTTTCGTTATTTTTAATTTTTTAATTCTGATATCGTGCATGCGACATGATTTATGTCATACGATGTAAACTATAATTACATAAAATATAAAGTATCATTTAGCATATAGAAAATAGTGCATTTAAAAAAAGAGAAGGAAAAAAAACAAGAGAGGGAGCCAGGGAAAAAGTTTATGTACTTACATTAGTAGACTGCGAACCCTCGAGAATTTTTGGATTTAACTCAAGCTCGGAGTCCCTGTTAAAGCTCGGGCTACTGAGATCGCTGTGACTAGAAGACGTGCTCGGCGGACTCTCGGGTCGTATTGGTGAATCTTCCTCCACCCCGGGATATTGCAAAGAACTTGGTGGATTGTAAACGTTCTTCGGATCCACTGAGAGCGACATTTGTTGGGGCTGACTCACTTGCGGGCAATTGTACCCTGCGAAAAGTAATTGAACAATAAAAATACTTGAACACTAAAACTCACTTTGATTGAATATAAAATTTTTTTTATTTAAAAATATTTTAATTGTATAAAAAAAATGTTAAAATGCTTTACCGCTTCAATATAATTTTTTTCATTTAAATTTGTAACATTGAAATACCCTTTTTACTTTTTTATAAAACACTCACCCGGCGATAAATCCGACGATGCCATCTCAGAGACAAAATCGCTCAGGGAGGAATAAGAGGAGCTGGTGCTTTCGGCGCCCTCAGAATCGGAGCCGCTTTCGTCTGTAGGCTGAGTCTCGTGTTCTCTCATCGCTTTCAGAGCGTTCGCCAGCGAGCTACCGGAGTCCCAGACGGGAAAGTAAATTGGCTCGAGATTGGTCGCGTACCAGCGCGGCTTGTCGCCGATTTGCGCTGGATCGAACACCCCGGTCTGCACCCGGAGGAAGGCCACATTACTTGGCGTGAGGGACCATTCGGCCAAAAACTCGACCGCCTGTGTGCGCGCGAATCTGTTGAGAAAGCTGCTCTTCCTGGGTCGCGAGCGAAGGAACGAATTGATTTGGAAGGCCACCACTGGCCGGGGGTACAGTCGCAGGGTGCGAGTGTGCTCGGTGAAGTTGGCCAACAGGTTCTGCGAGTTAAAGAATCGCACCATAGCGACCCGCGTGGCAATGTCTACTGAATCCACGTCGTTTCCGTAGATGAAGGGATTGAAAGGTGCCGGGCTCTGTCCGGTCACCTTCGGCGGATACGGACCGGCCGGTCCGGATCCACCGATCGTCTGTGACATCGACGGCCGACGAGGTGGACTCGATGATGAGCTCATGCTAGGTGAATTCAACGGAGTGTGCTGAACATGTGAGCACTGATCGACGCTCGGCCTGTGCTTCGTCGAAGCTACACTGTAGGGTTTATTAGTAGTATTTTTATTAGCATTCAACGTTGTAAAAATATTTAAAGTTTAAGTAGTGGCGGTACTTTACAATTGATAAATAAATATATCTGTCGATAACTTTTATTCAAAGAAAAGCACAAATCATTTTTCAACTACATTATGTAGTCAAAATTTCATTTTTACATTAATATTAATAATTATATTAATTGTATTAACGATAGGTTTTATTAAAAGACAATAGGCGTGGTAATTATATTGACATACCTTAAACTGGAAAGATGGGAGATTGCGCTTTCTCTTCTGATGGGCGCCTGAAAAGACAAACGCATCGAGATGTCTTGCGGGGGCAATGGAGGGCCTGACATACTGGCCATCGCCTAGAAATTCGTCAGAGTAAATTAATAATTTGTTACAATGTTTATTGCTCATTGCTACTTTGTTACTAGTTGCTGCTTCTACTTCTACTTCGACTAATAAATTATCTACAAACAAAAAGTACCGAACGTTATAAAAAGAATTTTCCGATATCGAATATGAACTTCTAGAGAAGCAAACCAATCTTTTGTGGATCTCTCTAATTTATATTTGCTACTTGTAATTATTTACAATATTATTTTATAGTATTAGCAAATGTGTGTGGCTGTCATCAACCTGATTCTATTATTCTAAACGTGATAAATCATGCATGCGACTAACTACGAAATAAGGGATACGCCACTAAGCAGACTGAGAATTAGTAAAATATTTACACTAGAGCCAACTTGATCCATCAGTTGCATTGCCTGCGATGAGGGTAAAGAGTCATTAAATACTCTTCATCAGTCAGCTTCGTAATAATGAAAGTGTATATGTATATCGCCGCTTAAATGCTGACGAGAATCTCATTACCTGCTTCAGATGATTCTTCAAGATGGTACCCTCCGGTTCTGGCAAAGGTGGCAAATTGTCTTCGCCCAAAGCGCCTGGCGCCGTTATCTTATTGCTATCTAAGTCTACCAGCCAGATATCATCGGGCATCTTGAAGTTCTTTTTGTACAATAGGAAGGACGCAGGTATTCCGATCACAAAGGGAGTCGGAGCGAGCAGCAATTGTTCCGCGCAGCTCATGCACGTGGGAAGTAAGGGTATTGCGGGGAACATGTACTCCAACGGGTAGATCATCGTAACAAACGCCATGACCGACATGGACAAAGCGTTATAATCCCGTGACTGAAGTACAATCTGAAAGGAAGGATATCATTCTGTTTTGAAATTTTAGCTCTGGATGTTTAAGGTACAAAAAAGGCGCTTTAATATAATAACACACTTATATACACTTTATATAATAATGATTAGAAGAATTAAAAGAATACATTATATATTTTTTCAATATTATTTTACATTTATTTACCTTGTTTTCCAAGAGAATCAGCGTGAGGACCTTCAAACATATGTCGACGCCGAGAAGTTCCAACGGTAGGTGCAGAGGAAAATCGATCAGGGAGAACCTGGTATGGTCTGGCAAGGCGAAACACAGCGGGGGTTGCAGGCTTGATGATATTATCTCAACCTCGACACGTGTCTTTGCTGGAACGGGCACGGGGCTGCTGAGTAAACGCAGTATCCATGTCTCAATTTCGCGAACGTCGTGAAGTACGATAGACGGCGTGTCGCCCAGAGCCTGACCCGTCAGAACACTCCATACTGTATCTCTGTAACGGAGGAAGAGTTCAGTAGAAATTTTTCACCTTTTTCTCCTTTTTAGAAATTATAAAGCATTATTGAAGCAGGATTGATAAAATTCGAACACACCTGTTGGTCTGTCGAGAAGCTCCCACTTTCTGTGGCGAAAAACTCTCGTTGCACGCGTCGATAATCTTCTTTAGAACGAAAAGACATTCTCGGAACATCGAGAAGAACGGATGATGAGAAATTATGCATAGTGAAGTCAAGGAATGATTGCGAATCCTCTGTGAGAATATTATAAAGTTGTTATTGGCAGACTTTAACATCGTTTTTATGTAAAATTATATATTGTTTTCAATCCTTCTAAAATACTTTTTAAACAAATTAATTATTAATCCTGATGATCTGTGTGTGTTAAAATTTACTATACAATTATATCGTTTGGAACAATATAATTAAAAAATTCTAAAAACTAAGAAATAAAAAATTTTCACAGAAAAAAGAATCTTAAATTACATTAACAGATAAAGGCATCAAATATCAGAGAAAAAAGTTTTAAAATAAAATATTAGTAAGAAAATAAATGACATTTTGGGTCAAATAGACTCGAAAAAATCAAATCACGGGTTAATAAAAACTGTTTCTAGTGCTGTTATATTAGTCAGTGGTATCGACCTGACGTCTTCGAGATGCACGTGGCGAAGGGGAATGACTGCCGCCGCTCTCGCTGTCTCCACTCGGTGCGATGAATTCTAATCTCGGGGCGTGGGGTACCTGCGGGGTATCTGAATCTCTCCTGCTACTAGAGCAATCCTTCTCAGAGTCACTAGGACCCACTGCACTGCTCCTATAGTCGCTATAACAAACGGCTAGAGATACAGTCTTATAAACGGGACTTCTATCGGGTGCAAAATTGTATACGCGCGAATCATTCGGGTTGTTTAAAACAGGAATCTTCATCTCTTAAGAATCTTTTCTAAAGAATTAATTATTTTAGAATCTCTTCGTTTTGAGAAATAAGAAGTTTCGTTGTTTTTTATAACTGTATAAAATATAACTGCGCCGAGCATATTGGAATTCTATTCCAATTTTTTATTAAATGTAAAAATTAAAAGAAGGCCAATAATTATAAGCCATTTCACCTAGAAAAAGCGGAATCCGTGCTTCTCTCCATGCTCTTCCTCCAGCTTTCTCTACGAAACGTGGTATTGTACTTTTCTCTCTTAAGCGAAATTCCTCCGCCAGCCCCAGCGACCCCCGCTCTTTCAGTAGGTCGGTAGAAATTCACACAGATCCCGTAACGCGTTCTTCCTGCGTTTTGCAAAATATTTGTAACGTAGTGCGGATTCTTGAAAATCTCACGTGCGACGCAAGTAGAACGCATACGAACCTGAATCTTTGTCGGTGAGGGTGAAGGTAAAGGACGTTGCCTCTCGTAAGGCCGTGCGCTTTGGTCCCACGCTACTGCAACCTTCCGGTTGGCAGAAGTACACCATATCCAGAGGCAGAGGAAAATCCTTGTGATCCTCCACCGGATATCTGCGTAGCAACTCCGGGACCTGTGTATTAAATAAAAGTCATTATTTCCTTTCCCTAAATCGTATTTTATCAATTATTTTTTTTATATTCCAGTTTCTCGAAGGTACAGCTTATAGCTTGGCAAAATCGATTGGACGCATATTAAAGCCGTCACATACAAATTGACATAAAGATATCAATTTAATACAAATATAAAAACAGGTTAAACCGTGAAATCCTCAATACATTTTAATGTGTTTTGTTAAATAAAATATTTGTAATTTATAATTCCAAAAAATTATAATTCCAAAAATTCTACATAAAATTTTGCAAATACAGACTCTAATATTTCGCATTAATTGTTATACCTGTACGGGCTGACGAGAGGCAGCAGGCATCCTGGCCCCCACGATGGCGAGATAATCTACCAATCGGGGGCACAGGAATTTCTTCTGTATATCCATGGCTGTGACCTATGTGTGTACAGCTGTGTCACCGTTGTATACAGTGTATACAGGACATCCGAGCTGCTGAACTCTCTTCAGAGTCGTTTCCAGCTTGAATCATGATTGTACCATTCTCTCGCTTATTTATCCCACCTGTAAATAGAGAGTTAGAGAGGTTGCAATTAATTGACGTCCCTGCCTCACTATTTACTGAATTGTCCAGCTTAATTAAACTTCCGCTATAATTATTCTCGAGCGAAATGAATTTGTAGGTAACATCCATTTCTACTTCGTTGTTTTTAATAAAGTATTTCTCGGCTAACATGGTAACAGTATTCTTTTTTTAAAAGATATCTTAAGGATAATCATATTTTTAATTAAACTTTATGCTATAATTTAATATTTTTAATTAAACTTTATGCTATAATTTTCCTAAGTTAAAATTAAAATTGTCGTTGACGTAGATTGCTTCCACCTCTCAAGTTTTAACTACACTGCACAGTTATCTCGTTTTCGTAAAGCTTCAACCTAAGTAACATTTGTTTATCATGATAAGGTCAAAATGAAGTAATATGACCGAAACTTGACGAATTTTCACTGAATTTTATATCAATTTGGCGTCATTTAACTGTAACATTGCGTGTTACTTGGAAAGTTAATATTAGAATTAATAAATGCCCAACCATTTTAACCTTTAAAAATTATATACCAAAGATTAAAATAATTGGATTGTTTAAAAGAAAGGATTATTTATTAATCTTTGAAAATTACTCAAATTACACACCAAAGATTTAGAAAAAGGGGATTATTTTGTTATATTTCAAAATCTTAAATTTCAGTTACAAAAGTAATCGAGATGTTTGGCGGTAATAGATCAACTTCCTTAAAGCGAAGGGCGGATGGGTAAAAGAAGCCGGAGGGTAGCAGCCGGTTCGGGCGAGATTTCAGAAGATCAATGATTCCGAAGGCCCAAAAAGGATATCTGTGTCACCGTGTCGGGGGTAAAAGGGAACAAGGGAAAGAGCGTGCATGCGCGTGGCATGTTTAATTCCGATATCGAACCTCATCTTGTATTTCGCGCCGTGGCGCAACATAGACGGGGACGACGGAGTCATGTGCACGAAGCCACGTACTTCCGTGTTCGATTATACCGCCGATGATTACAGACTGAAACGTGGTCGCTTGATTGTCGTGGAAAAAGAGCCGATCCGGCGACAAACGAGATCCGATCTTTCGGATATCGTCCGAACGTTTTCTATCTGTTTTTCTAACTCCGGGGAATTTCAGACATCATCTAGACGATCCTCAAAGAACTCTTCTTTTTTTACGTCTTTTTTCGGTGCATGAAAGAAATGATTGATCGGAAAGTGCGATGTTCAGTGATCTAATCCTCCGCGTTCCGTTAATGATTTGAAGAACTCAATCTTGATGAGAAAATCGCATTTAATTCTCATTTATTCTCATCTTAATTTGAAAATTTCATTTAAATCCCATTTCTCAGGTTCATTAGAAGAAAACGGATTGCGTCGCTGTGATAGCGAATCTTTTAATTTTGAAACGATGAACTGGATGATGATGGAAAACTTGAGACAAAACTCGATCTTGAAGTTAAGACATTTATTTGCAGACTCATTTTCTCTCAAGCCTTCAAAAAAAGAATAGAGCGCGGTGACATTAATTAAACTCTTCGATCTTAAAGGAATACCCATTCATACGTACGTAGACAGTTTGATAAATCAATGATTTTTGAAAGAAGATTATGTTGAAAAATAAATCGAATTTTGGTAAAAAAAATTAAAAAAATATTACCGATTCATCAAACTGTCCTCCTATACGTATAAAATTATTTGCAAAAATTATGCAGAATTGAATGTCGCTCTAAACAAATTGCAAATGTAGATTGTTTTTACGTATGGTATCCTAAAGTTGCACATTAATTGCAATATGCTTCGTTTCTTGATCTAGGTTTGAAATTCTAACAATCAATTTCGCATAAATTAAAAAGTAAAATTATACATGACATTAACGCGTGTTTCAAATGTGACAGCAAAATGAAAGTATTGGTCACGTTAAAAGCTCGTTTGTCCAAAATTCAACGATGCATTATCTGATCGAAGGTGGCATTTAACAATTCACCAAATCTCTCAACTCCCGAGCGTGCCGCGATCAATTATTCAACCCACCTTCCCGAGGCGCGAATGGTATCGCCGAGATGCAAAGACAGCAATAATGACATCCGGAATTATTTCCGCCCAGATGTGAGAAAGTTGCGTCCAGCTGTGACGTTAAATAGCACGTCTACCTGCGGGCGACCTGTTTCGATAAGAACACGACACTTAACGAGTTGACCTCGTCGAGTTCCGCTACTCCCGGAGAGTGACTTCAATCATACTATTGACTTGAGGAACATCGATCATGATTTTACAGCGACTCGTACATTCAGTTAATCAATTCGGCAGATTCGCTAAAAAACGTTCCAATCCCGAATTGTGTCGCAGAAAGAATTCAAAATCGTCTCTTTACCTCGGTCGGAAAATATCAGATTTTCGTAGCCGTCATCTGTGTGAGAAACTCAATTAAATGAACTCGCGCTTAAGTTCGCGAACAATTACGCCGTGCCGAGATTGCTTCACCGCATCGATCCCGAGGCATGAACGAGCCCCACCGGAAGAGACGGTTTCACCTTTCTGACATCCCGACGTCCACTCGGGGAGCATTGCTCGGATTCGCGAATCCGTAACGAGAGATTCGATTGACCAACCCTTCCCTGAGAAGGGTGGAATTAAATTTGCGCGAGGAAAAAGAAGTATCCGGAATCAGCTTCGTTAGCTCAAGGCCATTTCGAAGCAATCCCCATCCGGGATCATTCTACGAACAATTCTATTGAGAAATAATCCCTTGACGTCGGCATCGCGACGTCGTCTGCTCCTCCGCCACCGTCATCGCTCACAAGACACTTACGTTTTGCAATGCGTATTAACGCGGAGAACGACCGCGTTCGGTCCTCGTCCGACCGCCATACGAACGATTGTCAGGCCGACGGTGTTCCGTATCAGCCAAACGGCGATATCGCACTGGCGGCCGCCGACGCGCCCCGGAGCCTCGCGGCCGTCGCGCGTCGTCGCGACGCTGATCGTTCGCCAGAAGCGGTACCAGGCAAGCGCACGTCTGCGGACGCCGGACGCGCCTCCAGTAACGGCGCAAGCCATCCCGATTCCGCTTCTGAAAGTGAATTTCCATTATTTCTCATTTACTAGGTCTCAACCTACCGTTGCGTTCCGACATCTCGTCCGTTTTGTCGCCGATTAAAGCGCGGCCGAGTAACAAGCGGAGGAGGAATGATCGGGTCTTCTTCGGTTTTAGCTCGGACTTAAATTCTTTCAATTTTTTTTTTTGCTGTACAGATATAACACCGTATTAGACTAGTATTGATTTTTTGATATAGGGCGTAGAGCAGAGCGCACGTGTAATATTTGTCTTTGTGTATGGCATAGAATACGCTGTGGACAGAGCAAATATTTTTGTAGGTACTTTATTGATCACTGATGATTTTCCTTTTCTTAAGATGTATGTATGTGTGGGACGTACAGAAAATTGCTGTTAATTTACTGGCGATCGAAGATCTCAAACATAATTTTATTTTACGGCAATTACAAACTTCAATGCCTCATTCTTATAATGTCGCGTTTTATATTTAAATATAATTATCTATATTTTATATTTAAATATAAAAATCCAATTAAAAGAGAACTCATTATAATATTAAGTATAATAATTATCTTTCATTATTATAAAAACAATACTGAAAATTTAACTTTTTTAATACTACCTGACTGTAGCACCAAAATCGACAAATTAAAGTTTCTCCATTATTAAGTAATATCGTCTCTTTTTTTCATATTTTTAATGGGATAATCGACAAGATTTCTAGATTATAATTTACAATACGTAAATTATATTACAAATAATTTCTAATATGTCTAGTTTCTCTCTAACATCTTAATTATTTTCAAGTTTACTTGAATTGTGTATTAATTCCTTTAGTCCCTATGTGTATGTACATTGCAATAATTTGAAGACATTATCCGTTGAAATTTAATTCTATCAACATCATCTAAAACCAAATGTATACATAATAATGTATATGGAAAAATAGTTAGAAAAAAAATCTTTTCGTATGAATTACTTATTAAAGTGCCTTTGAATTGATAATTTAAAAAAACTTCTTTAACATAGTTCCATTAAAATCAGATCAGAATCAATTGAAAGAGTTAAATTCAGAAGCACGTCGCATGGCCCGGTTGGCGTACTCGCGCGGCATCACCAGCCAGATCAATAACGTCCGGTTAGATTCAGCTGAACGTCCGGGAATACGCAGAAAGGTGGCGGGTGGCGCGCACACGAGGGTAGGAACGAGGCCAGAACCTTGCGGGGCGTCGACTAGGTCGACCGACCGACCGACCGACCAGTGGCAGGGCGAAGGACAAGGATGCCGTCTTCGATATCTTTTTTCGAAGGGAGAAGGGAGGCTGCACAGCACACCCAAAATCTCCCACGTGGGAATTCACGCGGGAAGGTCGCGGACAACGAGGGGCGGCTTCATTCGAAAACCCACAGCTTACAATAACTGTAGCTCGCTGCCCTCATCGTAACGAGTAGCCGCGCGTTGTCCATCGATTAATCTAATATATTCAAGCACATTTTATTTCAAGAAGTTATAACACGATACAAAGGGAAATTATAACATCTTTCATAATAATCCAATTTAATTCGAGCATTAAATATAATAGTGTGCTTTTAATATTCAGAATCAAAAATTGATCACTACTCTTTAGTATTAAATCTTTATAAAGAATTCTCTTAATGTAAAAAGTGCTAAACGTTTTTTTACATGATTTAGTTCCCCAGAGAGAAAAAAAGTTGATAGATTAATATGTAATATTTCAGTATTAAATTTTTATAAGGAATTCTCTTAATGTAAAAAATGTCGAAGATAAAACGTTTTCATACATTGATTTAGTTCCTCAGAGAAAAAAAAGTTTTAAAGATATTATATATGTAATACTCTTCTGTCTTCTTTTAAGCTTGAATAATTTGATCTTGGTCGAATTGGGAAAATTTGAAGGAAACTCGTCGCGCTTGTATAAATTTTATTAAATACCATATGAATTTTATAATAAATTACGCGATTTCGTTGAGATAAAAGTGTCTTAGGACCAGCATTATCTTCTACTGTGCGAACACCACAGATTAGGTAGATTAGTAATTCATCATCCAAGATGACAGACAATAAATCTCTAACGTTTGTGAAAATTAAATGAACATTATTATTGTGATAGATTTAATCTTTGCAAATAAAGATTTCGTGCAAATAATAGACACATTAAAATACAGACACGCAAAAGAATTAAAAACTACAAGTAACATTTGTAATGCTGTAGTGTTCGTTCGTCTTTCTAACTTATACATATATTTAACGATTTCCTGCAAGCTTTCAAAGTTGCTTTTCCTTCCTACGTTACATTATTGTTACTGTATAAAAGATGCCAACAGTTTTTCTGCTGATATCGCACGCAAGAAAGAAACTGCGTCACGAATGATCGTATTCAAACGATTCAAAAATCAGCAAGTCAAAATATCGCTTCTATGTTTAATCAAAATACTACTTTCAACAACTTTTACATTCCGAATACATTTTGCCGAAGATTCTCGGGATCTTCTTTGACGAGATCTTAACAAGACAAAATTCGTTGATTCTGACTTTGTTACATACAAAGTTACGTACAAATATCTTCAAGTTCGCTAATAGCACACATTGCGCAAAGATATTAGTAGACTTGTAATATTGAGGACTATATCTTCTCTCGTTCTTCTATATATCCATTTAAGTAATGCCATTTAAGTAGCCTCACTGATAAGCGTACATATAACAAGAAAGAAAGCGACTTCGCTCGTACAATCATATCGCCAATGCTCGCTCTTTGTACTGTTTCCGTCGAGAATCCAATATAATTGTATATATAGTATCGAAACGGCACGTACAAAATACGGTATAAAAGGGAGATGCAGGACAAATCTCTTCTCTACACGCGAACACGTATGCGATATACCATGCATTTGTAGGGTGAGACACACAAGTTTCATTCCTCGTGCAATCGTCGTCTCGCGGATGTTGTCCAACAATATCGAACACCCTGCGAGATCGACGCAAATTTATCATTTTCCGACGACGTTATTGTTTCAAGACGTGGTCGCGTGTGGCCGATCGAAAAACCAATAGCTTAAAACTAATATATATCAGAGGTCGACGGCCGTGTCGGATCCGTGATGGTATTCCTCGTCTAACAGCGGCTCTTCCTCCACCATCATGTGAACTGTGAACAAAACTCGTCATCATGCACACCAACGAATACAAACATTGACACATATATTCTAACGGTTTCTATGACACCTTCAACAGCGTTTCCCATAGTTCCTCCGTTTCTTTCCTTTTTTTTGCCAGAATATTTAAACGCGCAAAAATTCATGTACAATAGGATCAAGGAATGTAGAAGCGAAATCAACATCCTCCGCTCTTTGAAACTTGAAAAATATTCCCAGACATAATTAGATGTTCACTGGATTACTTTCCGTTCTTTTTTAATATTATACAAAAGATTGATTAAAATTTTCCTTGCAAAAAATAATGAAGGAAACAAAATTAATAAAAGCAAATTAAAGAACAAAAAATCCTTTTTTTTTTACTTCTACATTTCTCAATTCCAAACACGTTTTGATTTTTGTTAGACAAGAAGACGTAGACATAAACAAATTCTACCTAAGTTTTCTGTCTAAAGTACATGCTGAGAGAAACAAATATAATACTGTTTGCTTTTATATGAGCCGAACACATATGTGTCTTTCTTAAAATATTATATAGCTTTAAGCAAGCAATATTGTTTAATTAATCTTATGTATAATCTATCGTCTCCTCTACTAATTAAAAGTTTGCTTCTTCTAAAAAAACCTCTAAAAATATAAATGTATTACATTGTACAAGTTTGTTCAACTAATAGTATTACAATATATATAATGAACTTTTCTCTCGCAAGGGCTCAAAGTCCAAGCAGCAGGCAGAAAAACATGCAAAAAATAATTCTGATATACAATATCCTGCAAAAATAAAAGATAAAAACCCGTACACTTTTATATTAAAAAATAATTCGCAATTTATGTTAATATTGTAATACTCAAAAAAGAACTTTTTAAACAGACAATAGAATATTATTTTTTTTAATAAAAAATTTGAGAGAAAGAGAGAAGTGTCTTTATTAATGATCTGATAAGCTATTACTATTAGTTTTACTACATTTATAAACCGATTCTTAAAATAATAATCAGTCCATATAATATTAGTACAATATTATTCATTTTACATCGATTAAAGCTAATAAGAATGCTTGTAATTTATAATACGTCAACTTTTGATATATAAATTTTGAGCATCTGTCATTCTTTTTTACTTCTTATCAAAAAAGGATTTAATTAGTCTATTTAAATCCTAACAAATTATACATTAATTTTATTCTACAAATGTATAGATATATTAAAGCTGATTTTGAGACCAATTAGCACATGCAAATGACAATCCGAAACCATGCAAGAAATTACAGTTCATAACATGCATAAAATACACAATCTGAACAATATATTGGCATACATAATAAGTTTATAAGTATAAGGATAAATTTCCATTATACATAAAATATATTAATATTATTCTAATACAAGTTTCCTTCTCCCTTCTCACATACAATGACAATCATATTACTTTCATGTTATATTTGCAGCGAATTTTGCATAGCAACAAACTAAAGCACAAACATGCATATTATCGTCTGCATAATATTCTAAATAATTATTTTGTTATTACTAACTATATTTCTCTACAAAATCGGATGCACCACAATGTACAAAATTTCTCATTGTTGGTACATTTTCTTCCGATAAATCTATTTCTTTCTTTTTATAAACACAATTTTTATTGGATATTACAACATAAGCAC